AATACAACTGTAATTAAATAAATGCTACAGGTCTGAATCTAATACAGGTGCCGCCCAGAGGCTTGGCGTAGATATGATGGTGCTTGAGGGCCTATTTATAAGGGTTGATGTAAATGAAAACTTTTTTGAAAACGATGCTATGTGCACGATGATGTTTTGGAAAATGGAGGGAGAAAATATTTGTTTCTCAGCATACCTGGCTATGTGTAAATATAGCCTCAATCACAAGAGTCTTTATAGCTCCTAAATACCTTGAAAAATATGTACTGTATAAGCAGGGTTGCTCTCTACAGAGTTGACCTGTAAAGGCCTGGTAGTGTTACCCGTTTGTCTCCATGGAAATATGCAAGTTTAATGCCATTTTTGTATTTTCCAAACATAGAAGTGTGTACATACTTGGGACACACATATCTTGCTAATTGAATGCAGTTGTCTCTATCCCATTATAAAACTGTGCTAATGTAACAGTGAAGAGTGAAGCGTCTCTGTGTTGATTTTGGACTGATGTCATGTTAAAGTCTGGGTCAAACACGCACACGCCCACAATTCAGAGTATTGTGTGGGCGAACCCCTCCAGCTGGCCTTTCTCCATTAAAACATTCGTTCGACAACAGTTCCTCGACATGAAAAATACGTGTAGATTTCCCCCGTTGGGACCCAAGCGCATGTCCGAATGTGAAGTTGTCAGAAATCATTCCTCAGGGCACTCCCTTGAGGACTCTGACGCAATCAGCAAACCTGAAGCTGAAATCCTAAAATGAGTCCAGATGGTCAAAGTCGACAACATTGGGGCTGTGTAGGTCATAATCTGATTTCAAATTTTGAGGTCTTACAATACTGCAAATATATCCAAAAAGTATGGAGCATTTGAGAATTTGTATATATTTACTTCAGTATAAAATAATTTAGGTATGCGTAAGAGGCTGTGCAAAATTATGTGTCAATGTATGTGTAATGTAACTCCATTAACTGTTATTTAAACTGTAGAAAGCATCTTTTGTAAACAATTTAGAGACTGCTGTTTTATATTTGAAATGTGGTTTCAAAAACTAAGTCCAGTTGGTTTAGTTTAACTTGTTGATAAAATCTTTATTCCTGGATGTCTAAGAATTAGCATCAATTAGTGTGGGTTTTCCTGAACTATTTTCAAAGTCTTAAAAATATATTTTAAAAAAATATATATATAAAACACATAGGACTTTCATAAAACTCCAGGCCAAAAGTGGGAATCTTAAAGTTCAATATAATCATGATCTGACACTGATTGCTTGCAGCAGAATGATGAATGCTGGAAACTAGAAACTTTGGAGATGGGTGTGGGCTATTTACTGAAAGTACCACTTTCTTTTTTAAAGCTGCGATCACAGTTTTATCACAATCATTTCAGTGAGCATCTTTTTATCCTCCTTAAGGGTAACTAAAGTCATCTGATCTGAGAGTTCACACATCACTGTGATTGGTTAAATCCACCCGTCAGTCACTCATGCATGACAGAGGCTCAACAACAGACAAAGAGGGTGGAGAAAAGTCAGCATAAACCTGCATTAAATCGAAAAGCACTGAATCATGACATCTTTCAAAGTCACGTATCGTCATAGAATTAGACCCCTATCATATTTTTAATTGCCAAGGCCTAGTTGTGGAAGCTATTCATGTCACGATAACTAATTTTGAAGCACAATATATTGCTACAGAAATATATAACGATAAATGATGATACTGAAACTACTTTATGCCTCTGTCAAAAGAACAATAAAACTGGATAATCCAAGTAAATCATTACTGTATTTAAATAATAATTATATTAATAAGCAGCAATAACGTGTCGTACCACAATTATGCAGATGACACTCAGATCTACGTCTCTCTGGCAGCAGGAGACTATGGACCAGTGGACTCACTTGGTCATTGCATCCAACAGATCAGTGTGTGGATACAAAACAACTTTCTCCAGCTAAACTCTGACAAGACTGAAGTCATAGTGTTTGGTCCACAGAAACAAAGGAACAGTGTCAGCAGTCACCTCCAGTCTCTCTCTCTAAAACCTTCAAATCAGGCAAGAAATCTAGGGGTAATAATGGACTCAGACTTGAACTTTAACAGCCACATCAAATCAATAACATCTGCAGCCTTTTACCATCTAAAAAACATAGCAAAAATCAAAGGTTTACTGTCTAAAGCAGACTTGGAAAAACGTATCCATGCGTTTGTCTCCAGTAGGTTAGACTACTGTAATGGTCTGCTCACTGGTCTCTCCAAACGAGCTGTGAGACGCTGCAGAACATCCAGAACACTGCAGCTCGGGTCCTTACTCGAACTAGGAAGTACGAGCACATAAGTCCTGTGCTCAGGTCTCTGCACTGGCTTCCTGTGCCTCAGAGAATAGACTTTAAAGCAGCTCTGCTTGTGTACAAGTCTCTCCATGGCCGAGCACCAAAGTACATCTGTGACATGTTAGTGTCATATGAACCATCTCGCACTCTGAGGACCTCAGGGACCGGCCTCCTGCTGGTGCCCAGAGTCAGAACTAAACAAGGGGAGTCAGCGTTTCAGATTCATGCAGCTAAAACCTGGAACAGTCTTCCTGAACATGTGAGACAGACTCTTCTGTGACGCTGTTTAAATCCAGGCTCAAAACATTTCTGTTTAACTGTGCATATAACTGAAAGGTTTTCATTCCGCACTCTTCTCTCCAATTTATGTCTCTCTTTTTTAATTTTAAGCTTCATGATTATTTATGTTTTGATTTGTTTTTATTATGATTTTTATGTATTTCTTATTCTGTAAAGCACTTTGAATTACTTTGTGTACGAATTGTGCTATACAAATAAACTTGCCTTGCCTTGCCTTGCCTTAAATACACAGCATCATTAAAAGGCCAAAATGAACTGATAATTAGCCATAGAAGTCACTTATTTAACCCTGTACAGCTCAAACCTTATGACATTACAACTAAAATAACAAAAATCTGTCCATTATTGCAAAGAAAATGTACAGACGACAAATATTGAGCCTAAAAATATATCATTTCAGGATCCATATATTGAGCGATAAGTCAATATAGTAATTATCATGACAGGCCTAGGGGAAGCCATATTATTTCAACATGTGGCCACTTGAGCCAAAATAGCACTATTTGGAAATATTCCTGGTCATAACAAATGTGAAATTGTGGACCCAACAGCCTGGTGGACCTCCAAACAGAAGGCTTACCGTTTATCACCATCTGGTCCTCTGAACACACTGAACTTTAAGAGCCATTTCTGCTCCTTCTGAATGTGACCACCCTCCATGGACTTCACTGGTGTTTTCCCAAGCCCTGCTCTGGCTAAAGGTTATGTTTTATAGTGAAAGCTGGCAGGGAGGGAAGCAAAGGTCAGGAACTGGAGAGCTAATACAGGCAGGATTTAAAATATAAGGGAACACAACAATTAAATTCTAATCAGATTGATCTCACACGCAAACTTTGGCACACAGTACATTAGCGCAGGCTTGCTAGATGACAAAACAATTATGCAGGACATTAAAGAGTCATTATGCATTTCAACTATGAAACAATATACAACAACGTGTATTCTGTGTGTATTTCTGTTGGATGGGACCACACACAGGAGCCAACTCCCCCCACTCTCCACATATATTACCTATTCTGGTTCACTATTGTTCTTCTTGGACCACTTCTGATTTTGAGCACTGCAAAATGGGAACACCCCACAAGAGCTGCTCATTTGAACAAGCTGAGATCCATTCATGTTTCCATCATAGTTTTAACCTCAACTATTTCTGCCAATTCTGTCTGGACACTGGCCAGTCACAGCTGTCGTCATTTAGGAGTCAGCTTTGTTACATCCTCTCTGATTTGTGACCACATCAACTACATTTAACTGAAAGTGTTTTGAAAATTGGCTTTTTGCCCAATTGGCTTTTTACAAATCAGCTTCTTTGTATATCAGTCCATCCTTCAGATAAGACAGTTTATGCTGCACAACTTCTGTATGAGAGATCGCAGACCTCAGTGACTCCACTAGGGTTGATAGATATGATTTGTGTTACTAGATATTGATCCCAAAAACATATCACATAAATAGGACAGTATCAAGCCTCTCTTGAGTATTTCTTTATTATCATAATTCATATCAGAACTAGAACAAGACCACATGAAACTGAATATATTGAAGATAATATTATTTTGTACTGAAATTCCATTCTAGGATCACAAATTGTCATTGTGCGTCACTGATTTCATCACTGATATCAGTATCAAGCTTATTAAAGTTTCAAATGAATTTTAGAATTATGACCCTTGCCTGATGAAGGCCTAGCTGCCAAAACACTGCTCCACTGTAAATAAACCTCAGAGTGAATTCTACTTTAGAATTATGACCTAACATTTACAAAACTGAAGCTCTGATAAAGTATTCAAATGAAACAGCACTAAAACTTTACAGTAGGCATTTTCCTGGAGTTGAAATAGTGACTCAGTGCCCTTAGCAGGTAGGCAATAACAATAACTATAATATTGTGATATTGTATTGTCAAAGTTTAGTATAAAGGGCTAACACTGACTGTTCGTGATGATGTTAGTGCCCACTGGGAACCACATCTTTTTAAAGCGGTAAACTGCAGACAATTTCTTTAATTAAGTTGTTTCAGATGAATATTGAGATTTCACATTTTAAAGAAGATATTGAGACTTAAAATATAATTCTTAAAAAACATATGCAATATACTGGTATCTCCATATCTTGATAATACTGTATCGTGAACCATGTATCGAGTATCATATCAAATCATGAGGGACACTAATTCCTAGCCCTTGACAGAATACTCTCCCCCTAAATCCTTATAATTACAGGCCACTCCCCGCCAAACCTGTCCATCCACTTGAGTTTGCCTCTGTTCTCTAAAGAGTGCAGCGTTTTGTTCGGTTTTGACTCATGGCTCTGACTCACGTGGTTATTTGTGTTTAGTGTGTGTTGTACCCTATCAGCAGCACCCACCTGCTTCCTCGTCATCCTCCATGCCAATGGGTCCGGACTGCGGCGTCTCCCCGTTCTTCAGGCAGTTGTGGATGTATGTGGCCTTCCAGCGCGCGTACTTCCTGTGCTGGATGTTCTGGTACAGGCGAGAGGAGAAAGGAGGGAAAGCTTTAATTATATTACCATTAATACTGCATGTTGGTGTTGAAATGATTGGCTTAAAAGGCTTCCGGTGCTAATTATTGTTATCACATCTGTCTCCTGTTTTTAAAATATGATTTGATGCTCTTGGAACAAACTGTCAGTGTGGGCAACCACTCTACTGATGTTTTCAAAGTGCACAATAACTTAACTGTTTCCACTGAGTTCTTCCAGATATTCATGCTGTATTAAAACTACATTACACATTATCAGAAGACACTGGCACCCCATACAGACTAACTTTCTCCCCCGTAGTTTGATTCAATGAAACTGCAATTTCACCAACATTAAAGTAACTGCTCCTATGGGTTCCCCCAGTGGCGCTGAGGAATGGGTCAAACTCTATGGGGACAATACATTTCACTAGAGGTGCTCTGATCAGGATTTTTTTAGACCAATCAGAATTTTTGATTGGCCGATATCAATCACATAGACTTTGATAAAGTGATGCTGGAAAAAAATAGGCTTTTGAAATAAGAAATAAGAAAGGCTTTTGATAATTTGACCACAATCTAGCTGATTATTGGCTTAAACTGCCAGCGCAATTTCACTGATGTTATAATGTGCTTCTAGCTGTATGCCTTACCAATGTGAGTGACCAGTATGTCTGATCTTATATTTTTCTATATATTGATGAGAGCACTAACTTACAACTTAACCTTAAATTGTGGAATTAGAGACAATTTACCCCAGAAATAAGCATACGATAGAATTATTCAAATTCTTCGTTTAGGGATTGTCTGAGTCACCATAGTCTCAGTGTCTGTTTGTACAAAAGCACACAAGAACTGAAACTAACTTAAATTCTACTTGAAAGACCACTTTGTAACTATTTTGGAGAATTACTAGACAAATAGAGTTCATTATTATCAGTATTATTATGGTATTTTTGTATACAAGGTTTAAATGAATATTAGTTGTAGGCGGAGAACATTTGATTGGAGTGTGTGGCCGAATGTGGGCAGCAGAGAGATGAACACAAGAGCTGGTTCAGATAAGCCTGAATTGAGAAAGCCCTGCTCTCAACAGATAAGTCCCTACAGTGTAACCTATAACAATGGACCTGTCCTGCCTTGCACAGAGCTGAATGTTTGTGGAGCCGAGTGGCTAAAGGTGGCTACGCTAATCTGGGAAAACAACACCGCTGTGATATTAGAGTGGAAAATACTGCTATAATGACACCATTGTAACACAACACAGGGGCGAGGGATACTGTGGAGAGATTACACAACAAGACAAATCGATCTGACACCAACACGAGTGAGAGTGGATGTGTTTTAGGGAAACATTGAACAACAAACTGGGCACACGCTACTGGAAGTAAGAACTAATCGATTCTAAATAGTATTTCCTGCTGAAGGTTTTGAATTTGCTGCTAAATTGGTTGTTTCATTTCTGTTGTAGCGGAGCACAATGGGGCATGGTTACTACTCAAGTCCTCCACAAAAAAGATTCTTGGATTCATCCCTCTGGAGGTGAGAATGTCCTCTTTGAGCTAGAATAGGTAATCCAGCTAAAGTTAAGGTGACCAGATGTCCTTTATTTCCTAGATATGTCCTCCTTTCGGGACCCAAAACATCCAGGATTTTGAATCAGTTGACAGCTTTAAGTGGGACACTTCTCTTAGATTTGGCAACAATCTTTGCTCATCTGATCAGATACAATCATAGATCTACAATAAGATCTTATTGTATTTCCATGGATACAATCACCTTCACTTCTCAGCACTGTGAGTCTAAAGTCCGTCTTTCCCCTCCTCACTCCCGTGCGCTCTCACAGCGAGGGCACAGATAGCTCATTTGATCAGTAAATGCACCTACATTTAAGCATTTTACAAAAGTATATTAGCTACATTTGAAAGACTGGATGATCATGACACAGTCCTAATAAAGGCTAAAGTCTCTAGTGTTCATTGTGCTCTGAATCACAGACTGAAGCCCCCTGTGAGAAGGGTCAGGAGCAGGGCCCTGTCAGAACAGGGACAGGGAACACAAACACTGTCAGGAGAATAATCCAAGAAAAAATAACTATAGGCTACATTGTCTTATATTATTGAGCTATGGCTTAGTCGACCTCTAAAACGCAATAAAATACAGTAAATTGTCCAAAATTCTCCTAGTGAGGACCCCGGACCCCCTGATGCACATAATATCACACATTTGTAATATTAAATTCAAACACCAAGAGAAATTGCCAGTTACAAAGTACAAACATCACAAATTTCTTCACTCCCAAACCCGGTGTCCTCCTTTTTGATAACCCCAATCTGGTCACTGTAGCTTAAGTAGTACTGACCAAGCCTAGCTCCAGATCTAGAGGTGGGGCGGACCCCAGTAACAGAAAGGATGGGGCAAATGCTGAAGACAAACTGGGAATCAGTTATTTGTTTTCATGTTGTAGAATGCAATGTCATTCTCCCGGGTGAGAACCAGTTTACCCTACTGATTACATTGTTTCATAAGAGATATCCAAAAGGTAAATTGACAAATGATGAAGCTGATCATTTCTATTAGTGTCTAAATCCTTGAACATACATTATTATAGCAGGATCTGCATTTTAAAACTATCCAAATAGGACATGTTTAGATAAAGAAGCTTGTGTTTTACTTTACAATAAGTGCTTAGTGTGCTTAGGAATGCAGTTTAATTGAAAGTAATATAAAGAAGAAAAACAAAAACAGAACTCTAGGTCAGCCTTTGTCAGGTTTGATTGAATGTTTTGGAAGGTTTGAGAGTTCAGTGACTGAACTGTGAGGCAGGAACAGAGGGTCGAGTCCTGTACACAGCAGTTATTGTTGTCTACACTGTCTACACACATCTGTAGAATGAAAGGCAGTGCCATGGGTTTGAATGGAAGATCTCATGATACAAGTCTGACACATTCAGAAAAAGGAAATACATTTAGCTTTCACTTCTATTATGAGTTTCCTCTAAAATAATGAAATGTTACAGCATATTGAAGAAAGTTTTTTACACCTCTAAAATGTAATCAAGTTGTGTTATAATAAAATTCATACAGCTAACTTGGGGACACATTAGCAGAAGTTCAAGAAACTAGAACCGAGAAGATCTGATCACACACTTTGCTTTCACATCCTGCAGGGTACAGTGTGGAACTTTTTGGAGGGGCAAAATTCTATGGAAATAGAAAGTTAAAACTATTCAGAACACTCTCCGTGGACATAGATACATTTTATGCCATACTGTGGAATATTATAGCCAAGGGAACAACATTTTCATGGAGACAAGCAGCTGGAGGCTTCCTTCAGGCCAAATGAGAGTCAGATTTAGAGAGATGGAAGCTCACTCAAAGTAAGTACACATGTGTTTTTTGGTGGAATAAACACAACCATAAAAAAAATCATCTCAAACATTATCTGGCATACATTATTTTTGAGAATGTAAGGTGGGGTTTTAAAATGGAGCACTTAAGACCCCAGATACTCAGCGCCAGAGAATACCCCATTAACTCAAACACGCATGAAAGAAATTAAACCTGCAGAATGAACAGCTGCTTCAACAAAAGTTTTTCTGCATCGATTGGACACAACTTAAAGGGGCACCGTGTAACTTTGCTGATGGAGGGTCCATCAAGTGCGTTTCTCTGTGGAGATATTATTGCTTCATTTGGAATGTTTCACAGTATGATATTAAACCTTTCTATCTCCATGGAGATCAAACCAACCACAAAGGACAAGACTTGAGAGGTGAACTATTTTGGAGTAACTTGAAACTCTAATTCTCATGTCCTAAGTACCACCTTGGCACAGGTCTGAAGTAGTTTGGGTCTATACCTTTAACAGTAAGTACAATCTCTGGACCTCTCACCCGTGCACTCTTTACATTGAAGGGAATGCTTGTACTCCACAGGGACAAACCTCAGTGGCAGGTCCCCTCTCTGTCCCCCTCTGTCCCAGTAAACATGCTGAAAACCTCTTTTTAGCACTTGTAACTGGAGCTGTCCCCTGTCAGCTGCCTCAATCAGGCTTTGAGACACTAAACATTCGCTCTCACACAAATGTGGCGTTGATGGGGTAATGGTCCTGACGATTAGGAACAAGTCTGACATGGATCTGCTGTCTGTCACATGTCAAAGGGAAGAACTACAGACACCGGCAGCAGCTCATTGAGGAGGATGTAAAGTGTGTATATAGGCTAAAATTAAACATGCAGGATGGTGCTGGCAGAAAATCACTTTTAAGTTTAAAGGTCTTATATAATTTACTATTGTGAGCTTTTAGCCATGTTAGAATGTTACCTCATTACCTCGTCAAAAAATACCCAGTTATGTTTTGTTTCATTCACACAAATTTGTATGTACGTAACCCATTATTTTGAGTCTGTGTTCATCTCCAAAGCTCAAAATGCTCTATTCCACTTTGTGATGATTGTGAAGATTTATGGAGTTTAAAAACACAGTGGAGAGCTTATTGAATGTAAACATGACATCACAAGGTGGACCAGAGTGTTTTCTTTTTCTTTTGTTTGAGAGAAGAGCACAGCATAAATATGCAGGGTTAGTGTCTTAAACATGTGTGAATAAAACAAAACACAACTCCGGGTATGTTTTGATGAGGAAACATTACAACATAGATCTGAAAATAGTGTAAAATAAGGGCCTTTTAAGTATATTTATTATACTAGTATGTCTATTATTGTCTATAGTGTTACGCATGCATTATGTATGCCATTTAATCTAAAAGAAAAAACTACATGTATGTCATAGACAATGAAAAATAATATAATTAATTTCACATCTCTATTATTATGTTAAATTTTTCCAGTTTGATATTATAATGTCGTATTATGAAAGAACATATTTGGAGTTGTTTTATTTCATTTCCTGTTTCAGAAAACTTTGATATGCATCAGCACGTTGTAATCCACCAAGTTCTTCTATGTTTAAAGAACCATACAACCTCTAATTTTTGAATACACTGCCTCCATAAGCATCTTAGTAAGTTTGATGCAACTGCTCTTTTATTGTGATACAAACTGGTTCTCTCCTCATTGTCATCGATGATTTTGGTCTCCACTTAACAGTTTATATTCATGACAAAAGCCTGGAGGAATTATACATATTACATAGATTACTGACATTATAATACTTTAAGAAATATAAAGGGTAAGGCTTCAAAAGTTTAATTTCATGCCTAATAGAAGACTTTGACTCTTCACAGTTTATGACAATGGCACATTTACTGAACATTTAATTCTTTATGGAAAAATTTTCATGTTAAACTGTGATAAGTATTTGTAACATTTTACTTTTTGCATTTAGTTTGATTGCCTTATTTTATTTTTACCCACCTCTTCTGACAGCTCCCCAAACACAGCTAGGACATCAATCAGCAGACTGGCCGTGTAGAAGGACTTTATCATATTCCTGCAAAAACATACACAAGGACTGGGTCAAGAAAGGTTTTGATACCACTAAAAACTCAAACGAGAAACAGAGTGAAAACCGTAATGGAGTACTTTACACATGGGATAAAAATAATCCAATAGAAAGTTTATATTTAAAATAAATTACCAACAAGGACATAATAGTACGATTACATTTGCTCATATTCAACACACTATAGTTTCCCAAACACATGATTTTCTCATTGGAAGAGGCTCATTTGTAATCATCAGTGAGTGTACATCTGCCAATTAGTGGTGCTCACAGTTGATTAGCACTGGTAAATTACAGGTGTTTGTTACAGGCAGAAGTCACGCAGTGTACACGAGGCCTTCACTGTACGTCAGCCTCAAATGTGAGATTTTCAAAAAGACGATGCAATGGAGCGGGACACAGCACAGACTAGAAAGCTCTTGGTGTGAACTGAGCTTTAACAGTAAGAGTAACAGCAGCAGCAACAGCAGAACTGCGAAAAGAGGGCTTGTCAAAACAGGCCTTCCATCAGTTATTAGTTGGTAGCTGTAATGGATTGTTGTGGTAAAGACAGAGCTGAGTCAAAAGGCAAAGCTCTCAATTTTCCTGCCAATACATTCCTGCTCTCACCTATGTCCATGAACTTTGGGTAATGACAGAAAGGACAAGACTGTGGGTACAATCAGTCAAAATGAGTTTCCTCTGAAGGGTGGCTGCAGTTACATGAGAGGAGCTGGGAGTAGAGCATCTGTTCTGAATGCTTGGACACATCCTTTGAGAGGTGTTGGGGGCTCGTCCCACTGGAAGAAGGCCCAGGGGAAGACCCAGGACATGTTGGAGGGACTATGTCTCTGGGCTGGCCTGAGAACACTTTGGGGTCCCCCTGGAGGAGCTGGAGGAAGTGTCCAGGGTGAGGGAAGTCTGGGAGTCCCTGTCTAAACAACTTTTAGACATTTTTTTTCCAACATCATGCAATTCCCTGTTTTAGTTGACTAACTGATTAACAACAAAATATATAGGATCCTCCTAGTACAATAGATGTTTTCACACTATGGGACCTTTTTCCATGGTGGTTATTTTTAGTACCGGTCCCTATTTGATGCATGTTCACATAAGAACTGGGGCCACACCTTCTAATTCCAGCTCAGGGACAGATAGATTTCACTCAGAACAGAAACTTTTTCGGTATCACAAGTACATGTACAATGCCAAACAAATTTACTGACTCACAAGTAAAATTACTTTGTAAGTAAAATTCTGAAAAACTGCATGCACATCACAGTTACTACTCAGTAGGAGTAGAAAGAAGGAACATAATTCAAATTTAAAAGTTCAGCACAGTTTTACTCACTATGAACGCGAGCAAAGGTGTTTTCTCTCACTGAATAAGGACTTAATGGACTTATGTGTGAAAATGATTTTTGGCCAGAATAGAGTAACTATGCATAGAGGTAAGAACACTTTTATTGCTGAAAATGTCTCCTCTTTTAACGGGCATTGTTACTTCACCCAAAGAATGATTACTGTTGGTTTCTAATTATGGCTCCATACTTCAGCGCATATTTGCTCAATCTGCAACTAAACAACAGAGAACATTGACTATAATGAGAAGTAACGACAACCATTTAAATATATCGACTGAAAAATGGTCATTTATTTTCTGGCAAACTTCTAGCAGATAAATACACATAACAAAGTTGCAGGTTTCCCTCCCTTCAGCCCACTGTAATAAAGGGCTTGGTTTTGGCTCATTAGCTCTGGGAGCTTGTGGTGAATATTCATCAGTCTTAAAGCTTAACGAGGCTGGGACAGGAGCAGCCGCAGCCCCCCAGCTAAAGCCAGCCATGGAGGAAATGCTGCTAATTACAGACAGGAGCAGAGATGTGTAATTAACAGCCAAAACGACGCATCAGTTTGTGTTTTCTCCGTGAGTCATCTCTGCAAACAAAATCAGGCTTTTTTACATCTGTGATTTGTAACAGTAACAGGGACTTTTCACACGGGACATGTAAAGACAGAAGTGGGCTTAAGATGGGTCACAGTGCAGGTGGTTACAATGAGACAACATAAATGCAATGCAAATTAAAAAGAGAAAGAGAGTAAGTTAGAGGTATTTTGGGACATATGGGTCTGTTTTGACTTCTTGGCTACTGTGGAACTAACAATATATTTTCAGTTTCAATGTCAGTAGTGTTTTTTCAGTACTGACACATGTTGGTTTCTATATTAGTTTTAGTATAGTTTAGTTTGGTATAAAACATTTTTTATTGTGACCAATCTGATTCAGATATAGATATAGATGACAACAATCTAGGTATTCATGAAAGAGCTATCCTAGTGGTCTTTTTACTATTAACACCTACAGGTAGTCAAAAGAGTTTCTAATTTAGATTATCTTTTTAAAAAAAATGTAATCACCGTTATTCATGCTAGTTTCTTTCCAAAAATTATGGCATTAGTTTATTTTGTGTAAACTAGTAAACATGGATTTATCTTTAAAATGGCAGATTTAACTTACACTTCGCTCCCAAATCAATATTACTCACTATATGCCTTCTCTACTCAGCTGTTGTACATATAAAATAATTTAAAATACCCCAAGTAATTAGTCAGCTAAAAATGTTTTGGTCAATAAAGACGGCAACCGATCTGTTATGGTCACTATTACGATTAAACCCTGACATCCAGAGTTGACCATTAAGTGAAGAAAATTACATTCAGATGATGGTCAGTAATTCAGTCCAACAAGTGAAGCCAAGCCACAATGGTTTTCCTAATCCCTGCTGTCCCTCTGTGGGCTCCTGGACAGACCTGTGCTGTGGTCCTCAATCCTCCGCATGTACTCTGAGGATGTTTATGGGAAACTGCACTGGAATCAGACACTTCCTGTAACTCACTGAGGCCCAACAGCCACAACGGTCCCATTCATGTTCTTCATATTCCCACTGCCCCATTACAACCTTAACTAGGTACCGGGAAGTCCAGGCTGGAGCAGGAACCCCCTTTTTAATAAACAGTCTTCGTGTAACAGTGAGGTGATCAGTGCATGTGTATGACAGCGTGGGTTGTACAAAGAGCAGAGGATAGTTCTGTAGTTTGGTGTGACCTTTGAGTATGGCTACAACAGCTACTCAGCAGTGTTGGGAAGTAACTGAATACATGTACTGAAAATATGTATTCAGAATATACACTTTTGAGTAACTGTATTTCAGTACAGTTACTCTTTCATTTGGTAGTATTCAGAATACTGTTACTTTTCTAAAATCAAAGGAATACATGGCAATATTTGATCACACATTTTACATTTTAAACTGCACATAATCAGTGAGAAAAAATAGAAAACAATGCTCTTGTAGTGTGTGCATAGTTTTTCCTTCTCTAATTGGTGATAGACGATGCATAACAAATGGTGAAACAAATTATGAATCTTTTTTAATCCTGTTGTGTTTTTACACTATAATTTAAATGCAACTATGACTGAAAGTATTTTGTCTCACGAAATCTTGTGATACAAGATTGTAGTCATCCCTTCTAATCAGATAATAGATCATTGAAATAATCAAACCCTTATATAATATCTATTTTTTAAAATATATTTTTAATTAATACAACATCCAAAATGGCAAAATGGGTTCAATTTTTTTTTTCATTTTTTACTAAACAACAACAAAAGCTACATTTTTTACTTTTTTTTTTTTTCTTTTTACTTAGTTTCAGCCCCAAATATAAGGACACTCTTGGACAATTCTGGTAGGATTGTGTGTACACTGTAGGTTCATGGTGGAGCTGGAGACCCTGAGTACTTCCATCCAATAGAGAGGACAGAGAGAAAAAAAACATGAAAAGGTGCACTGTGTAACTTTTCTGGTCTGCTACCTGCTTGTCTCAGTGGAGATGTTATTACTTTGCATGATATTTCTGAGTAATAAAAACACCCGTATACTGAATAAACGCAAGATGCAGACTATGGAACATCCCAGGCAAAGAACTAACATCTCTATCGAGACAAGCACAACCAGAAAAGTTAAATGAGCTTTGAACCAGAACTGTGAGGTGAGAACCCAAAACACATCATGAAGGCATATCTCTCAATTATTCCACAGAAGTAAAAAAGATGAAATAAACATCCATACACTTTCCCCATAGCTTGTGGCCCTGCATGGCCCTCCCCCTCCTCCAAACCATCCCAGCCTCAGTTTGTAAATCTGTTTTAACAAGGTGTGTGCGCTGAGCTCTGACCCCTGTTCCTCATTATACGCTGGTGTTTGTTTTCTTTCAGACTCTGGGCCCTCCTCCCAGCTGCCTTCAGAACACCTTGCTTGTAACCAGAGGTGGATGACGCCATGTTTACTCTAAAAAACAAACAAAAAGGGTCCGCTTATGTCACCTGGGCCCATTGACAGACTCAACACTCCAGGTTTAACATACATGTGGAAACGGGCCTTCCTGTTTTTACTGCTACCAGGACCAGTCATCAGCAGGTCAAAGCACTACTGCACTTCTACTACTTTACATGAATATATTATGTGCAGTAATAGAAATAATTTGAAAATATATTAATATAATACTGAATACCTGTATTAAAATGTGTTTTGTGTTCCAATACATGGTCCAGTATTGTGTTCTGAATACTGAAATACTTTCAGATTGAGTTGCATTATATTATAGGGCAAAAAACATGGTTTATTATTTGTGGTACTGTTTTTCTGCATTTATTTATCAAGAATTAGAGGATGAAACAATGCCACAAGAGTATGTCTCTCACAAATACGGTTCACTTTGAAGCCTAAATGGCGTGATCAAAATTCTGACCAAATTAAAGTGCAGGTATTCAGGTATAATGAGGGAGTAGAGAATACTTTTTTCAGGGATAAAAAGCAGGCACATGCAAACACTATAGATAGAGCTATAGACTTTTGTGAGATTATGTTGAGACCCACTGCTCAGGGTTTTCAACACTTTTCACTGTATCTTGATTAATCCTCATTCAGGGGATGATATGCCAATCTGAACTCAAAAGACAAAAAACCCTGAAAGTTGCTTATTTGTAGCTTGTTTACTGGAGTCTTAAAAAGAGATAGGCAAGGTAACTAACTACATCATACTTCTTTGTACTGCCTTCTATCAAGTGCCCATTAGACACTTCAGAGAATGTGAAAGGATGTGAAGTGTCATTTGTGAGTCACTGTAAACCTTCACAAAAATGGACAGGAACTACAGTCAACATTTGTCACATGAGTTGCACATTGTCGCTAAGAAAAAAAGGACTCAGATGACACCGACAGGCCATTTGTATGCTTATATTACTCATCTCACAATAGAAATTGACAATTTATTCTAACATAACTCAATACTAAAACCAGCATGGAGAGAAACTAGATACTCATTTGACCAGGTACTTATTCTGAAAATAAAACTATCTGAATCTTGCCTATAATAGTCTCTTTGAGTTCTGAAGAGGCAACAATTATTTTGTGTCATCTGAAGTAAAAATTGTAAGTGCCAATTTGAGGAGCATGAAATTTAGAACATACTTAATTTTTTCATCTAGTTACCATATTTTCCGGGATATTAGGCGCTCTGGATTATAAGACGCACTGTCATTAAATGGTCTATTTTCGAACTGTTTTCACAAATAAACTGCACCGGACTTTAAACGAAACACAACAGTTAAATGGCTCAATTGGACTTTGATGCGTTCACGGTGACTCTCGGTTTTGTTCAATTGTGGCACATAGGGAGGATGCTGTGTGGGACCACTGGATTGTCGGTGTGTTCGCAGTGACTCAGTTGTTCAATTGCGGCTCAGAGTGGCACATTGCACTTGTTTTTTTGGTTCGTTCCTCCGTTCCGTTCCTCGTTCACGTGGAGTGATGAGTGTGGCTGCTGGTGTATTTCGCTGCGTGGGCGCTGTCTGGTCCGTGCGTGTTTTCGTGCGCAGCGGGTGGTGCAGTTTGGTGGTTTACTGAATTTGTGCTGGGACACCCGAGTGGATTCATGTATAGGGTGCTCTGGCTTGGGGTGCACGGCCGTTTCTTGATGGGGTTAGAGGCTTAAGAGCGTGCCTAATAGTTCAGAAAATACGGTACCTGAATATCTAAATCTTTCAAATTGTTGCATGAATTATGCAAAATCTGAAACATATATGAATTTCCAATAACATAACTGGGTTTATCTTATTTGTACAAATCCTGAATTCATAATATCTCAGTTCCTTACTTGTGAAAGCGCCCAGCTCGGTCTTCATTGTCCGCATAGAGAAACATTTTTAAGGCGTAGTTTTCGATGTGAGCATTCCCCACCACCTCCTGTGTTATGGAGTCTTCATTTTTCAACTCCTTTTTCATCTGCAAAAAAAAAAAAAAAAAAAAATTATAATAATAAAAACATATATTTCTGAATGATGGCAATACATATAAATTCAAAACCGTCCATGCCATCTTCGTTGCTGAAACTGTAATGTAAGCCAATTTAACTTTTGGAGCTTTTATTTTACATAGGTCATTACCATTTAAACAGTACTGCAGCAGGAAATGGTAGGAAATGAGAAATAAATATTCTGTCAGGGTTGACAGGCACAAACAAAAACTCAAAAATACAAGTTCTTAAAAACATGACAAGTACAACGTGTGCTAAAATAAATATAATCGATGCCCAAAATGTCAAACTGTTACTATGTGAAGTATGCTGCCTTAAAAAATGTGTGTGTGCCTGATTTTTATCTATGAAGTAAGATCAAAATATTGTTTAGCCCCAGACATTACAGATATATTATAAAAGAAGCTCTTAGAGACAATGATGTAGTGCTGTGTGCAGCACTACATCATTACTATATACTATACTATATATTGTGATGGTAAAACTTCTCTCTGATCTCTGAAAGTTGTGAAAAGCATTTATAAATGATCGTGTTGAATAATTAAGATGCTAGAAAAGCATTCAGAAATTGTGGAATAATGTTGGAGAGCTATTATCTGTTTAAAATAATATTGTAAGAAACTGAACTAGTTTAAGACTGTAAAAAATCAGGTACAGTTCCTTTCAGTCAAGTCAGAACACACGGTGACCTACCATGGATCAATTAAAACAGGCACCACTGGGCTTGCCTATAAGATGAGGTAACAAAATCTGGCTTCAGTATTATGAATAAGTTAAAAAAAAAAACATTTTCTTGATTAAGTTCGAGTTGATAAAGTTAAAGAAAAGTATGAGCAATTCATGAGGTTAAAAGTTAGCATTATGGCAGATGGGTGTATGATTTAGCTGGCTGTGTTCTCGGCCTGAAAAGTCTGACACTCTCTCTCTTACAGTGGGCGAAAAGGCATTAAAAAGCCAGCTGACATTTAGTTTTTTCTAGATTAGAAAAACTTTCGCTTGGGGTCAGAAGATAATAATTCAACACTTTTTCTTCACCTGTGTGGCGCCCATTGCATAAAATGTCATTGTACGTTCTTAACTTAACCTCGGGCGCTGGATCTTTCCGTGACTCTGGCCAGAGCCCGTGTAGGGTTTCTGCTAAATGCTCTAAAGAAACAGTCAGATCAGGTGGACACTGAATGGACACACTGTTTGCCAATTTTAAATAAGCATGTCGGGAAGAGGATGAACAAGCCTAGTGGGAATAGAGGAATTTTTGCACTGAATTAGTATGGATGAAATACATGTAAAGGTCAGTGATAAAATATGAACAAAACTGTGTTTTGTCAATGCTGCTGCAATAAAAATAATAAAAAGAAAAGAAACCTGTGAAGAAACCTTTTGACCCAACTGGGGTTGGGTCAAAATGTTTTATTTATTTATTATTTATTAATCTTTGCATAGTGTCCTGCCATATAACTGATTGTTGGTTGGTTCTTCTGAAATGTTACTTCTGTTGTTATTATGTTTGTTCCTTCTGCATCAACTTTTATGAGCTTTTAACCATCTTATAATGATGTTCCTTCATCATTAGCTGACTTGGAGTTGCAGTTTGATTCATACATGTTTTAGTACTCCTGTAATGTACTGCATTTGAAAAAAAAATCTTACTTTGGCTAACTTTGGATTCAAAAAGGTAACACTTAAAAAAGCACAATGTGTCTCCTTTAATGAACCTTTAATAATAAAGCATTTGTCTTATATAGCACTTAGACACTTGAAGATCACTTAACAAATCTGTGCATAATTCACTTACTACTAAGATAATATTGTAACCACAGCTGCGCTGGGGCAGACTGACAAAGCGAAGCTGCGATTTGCAGCAGCAGCCCCTCCAACCACCACCAACACTCACCCACACACCACGTTCATACAAGGAAATGTGGATGAAGTGTTTTGCCAAAGGACACAACAAAAGGGTTTTGTTTTTTGCCACTGGTGTCCCACTGTGAAAACTGATAGGTGAGAGACCGCTGGGACTAAGTACCAACTGGGCCCGGCTCTGCTTAGCTTCTGAGATCTGATGAGGTCAAGCTTTGACAAGGAGGTCAGGCCACCTGTTCTATGATCAGAGTCATTATCCTGGCCTGGACCATATTCCACTGGATAATTTTCTTGATGGGAGTCTAAAAGACAGTAGATGTCCATATGTATTTAGTGTGAATTGGGGTGACGAACACGGAGAGACATTAAGCCCCATAAGAACCAGCAGTAGGTCTCCAGTAACAGTGTGCTTAGCTTTAAGTTGCCATTTGGTCTAATCTTAACCTTAAGCACTTACCTTTTAACTCTATACCTGACAGTTCATCTCACACATACCTTAGCCAATGGATACAATTAGCCATCACGGAAATACCATCTATAGGTGAATCTGATATGGAGTAAATTAGTCTGTTGCTTCTCACTTTACATACTTTGGGTCCTGAACTTCGAAACAGAATATCCTAGAAAACAGTTTTTTCTTAAGTTGGAACTGAAAAGACAAATTGGGATCATTGTACTATTTTCTGAAAAATAAATAAATAAATAAAAATAAATAAATAAAAAATCAATGTGAATTGAAAAGACACATTGTAAACTGTGTGACTCACAAAAACTCACAATACAACTGCACCTGATTGTTTGCAAAATACTGACAGGATAAAAAAGGAACTTGGGAGAAGAAACAGCCGATGTGAAATAGATCATTGTTAGAAACCCACCTGCAATTGAAAGAAGCAGGTGGAAGACATTTTCTAAGACCAATCTTTTCACAGAATGTTTCAAAGAAGAAAACAGGACTAAGTGTTGGGTAGATTGCAATTTCTATCCCAGAGTTTCCTCTACAGCCTTACAAGGAACACTCTGAGCTGAATGAGTGAAAGAAATCAACTGATTATGAAAAAGAATGGTTTTAAATCCATGGGGCTTTTAGCATAGTTTTCTAGCAACATGCAGCTTTACCAACTTAAGATAAGACTTGTTTTGGTCACTGAGGAAGATAATATATTGCAATCATAACAAAATTTCAATTTGAGTTAAACAATTATCAAAGACGGCAATAATTAGAATAAATAGAATGCTATCTGGTAAATGGTCACATTTTTCTATAGCGCTTTTACACCTTCAAGGCACTCAAAGCACTTAACATCAAGGAACCACTCATCCAGTAATACACACACACACACCAAACTGAGTAGATTATGTTGAGAGCAGGATTTGAACCACCAAACTTCAGATCAGTGAACACTCTACTCAACTGAGCTACTGTACCCCAAAGAACAAAAGAGATCTTTACAAATATGTCCTGAAATGTGTTGGATTCTTGAATGTCCACCCTGTGTACCAATGCCACTCATGTTTTTAGCAATCCTTTGTTGTTTCTTTCCTGGTCTGTCCCATATGAAAGTGATTAAAAGCATGTGATTTTCCATAGCGTCCCCGTAAAGGTCGTATCCAGAGAGATCCGCAATGACGGTGAAGTTATAATGAGTCCAACATGGAGCGGACACACCGACTTTGGCCAATGGGGAACGGGGCCTGAGCAGGTCCTGTGAGAGCGGACTGCTGGGAGGCATTAACAAGTGGAACAATCTTCTGAAACACAAGATCCGTTCTTGACACAACACAAAGTTTCACTGACTGGGTTTTTCTAACTTCTTCACTCATGTGCGGAGAGCCTGATTGGATTCAAGTGATGCGCCGATGCAACATTAATGGACAGGGTAGAAATCAGGAGCTTTTTCCACGGCAGCAAGAAGACAAAGTTTAGGGTGCATTATGTAACTTTCAGGGCGAGAGTCCACCACCTTCTTGTCGCCATGGAGATGGCTTTGCCTGGAATGTTTCTCAAAATGCCATGAACTTATCCATCTTGCATTTATTCAATTGCAGGTGTGTGTAGTGTTGCCTCTTCAAAGACCTGACCTGTAATTTGGTCTTGTGGTGCCACTTGCTTTTCACCATGGAGATAAGGTATGAACTCGGAGGTCCAGTTAAAGCCATACTGTGGCACATTACATCTTGCATCTCAAGCAAGCGGCACAGGATTATTTCATACTGCGCCCATGGTAAAGTCCTGCTGCATAAGAAATGATACAATTTTGTATGTATTTGCAGATATGGGATTTTTATATTCACATTTCTTTGGAGGCATACTCAGATTCACACCTTAAGTTCATGTTCAAACAGTAAAGAAAAGGGTCTTCCATGAAGCCATCACCTACCCTTTAAGGAGCCATTAACTGTCTCTGTACAGAAAAGGCACGGCGCCTGGTTCAAAGCAGCGGATGTGTGTCCTGTAGAGAGACACATCCTGAGTGGACTTTAATGAACGTCCCGGGAGTCTCAGTAAAACAAGCCCAGAGGGACAGGCCTTGCGTCGTGTCCTCTGAGTCCACAGCCAGAGCCACTAATTGGCTCTGAGTGACAAATGAAGTCTGCCTCCATGGACATGGAACAACCTCCCAGTGGGAGGGGCCACAGGGGCCAGTGGACACCAGGAGGTCATGTCCGAGAATCTATACGACTCTTAGCACTTCAAATTACATCACAAGACAGTGCCGGACAGGAAATTGTGGAAAAGTGATGCTGGAAAAGAATCAAAGCTGACAACTTTAGGTTCAAAGTTTTGTCCCGGCATGCTTTAAATATGTATTTATTTGATATTTGAGATATGGAGATCAGTTGAGAGCATCTTCTTATTGACAACAATGACCTGACACGACCCTCTTCCCATCTCAAAGCATTAACACCTTTGCCTGAATGCATTAACACATTTGTCTCACTCTAGTCTAAAATGTGCAAGCACTAAAAGTATGAGCCAGGTGTTATTCTCACAAGATGAAAGAGAAACTTTCATTTACACTATGACGCTGTTTACAGTCACAACAGACCTACTCTTTGTTTAAAATAAAGTACAATTTCTCACCTGAAGCACAGTAAAACAAACAGTTAAAACCACTTTGAACCATGTAATATACAGTAGTAGAAACGTTTCTCTGGCCTCTGGTTGTGGTCTTGTTTAAACTCATGGAGAGATGTCCATGGCTGCTCTGACCCCTTCAGTTGAGGTCAGGATTCCAAGAGGAAACCTCAGAGCAAAGAAAAACCTCCTGTAGACTCAGGACCAGACCCCAACTGTGATCCAGGTAAATGTCAAGTCCCTCACAGCCTGGTCACTGCAGAGCACAGGCTAATGTTAGAGCTCCACTGTGTGTCGAGGAAGAAAAGAACCATTCAGGTGCATGCAGGCTACAGGCAGCAGCACTGCCAAGATACCAAGAGCTATGTTTTTTTAAAATGATTATTCTCATATTTTCAAATCAACATTGGTCACCTCTAGACAAACTCAAGAATACTAGAGAGCTCAAATCTGCAAAGATTTGAAAGGGAAATAGGCACCTTTTTAATTAACATATAAAGTAAGTGGTTGGGGTGTTGATTTTTTTGTTTTATTTTAGTTTTTAGAGCACCAAAAAAGAAAGATTCTAGTGACAAAAAAAAGACATCAACCAGCTAAAATTCTAGTGTGAGTTAGAGATCAGTGTCCTGTTTATTGAAATCTAGTATTTTGAAACAATGAGAATGACCTGTAAATTTTCAGAAAACTCTACTTTTACAGCTGATGGGGATAGGTTATGCCTGACCTCTCAAAAAATGTTATATAAGAAAATGACAAAAATACTTTCAACATTTATTTTGCTGTGCAATTTGAAGAGTGCCTAATACAAGTGAAAGCTGATTGCAAAGAACCTCCCTGCGCAAAGTTGACGAAAGGATAATCAATTGAAAATTTGGCATGCAATCAAATATCTGCTCCTGTTTTTGATTTACAAGCAATATTTTCGCCCATAAAAGCTTAATGTTTTTAAAGTATTTTGTCTTTCCTGGTTGCATGAACTGCAAAACATGTCAACATCAAAGTAGCATCTTGAATTACTACTCCTCAAGTGCTTTCTGGCATCGAGGGTACTGGAGCACCAGCCTCTAAAACACAGAGGCGGTGAATGTGACAGAGGGACAGAACTGTGACTCACTGTCTCCAGCTGGTCCATGAGCTTCACCAGAAACTGTCTGCACTCCGGAGTCTTACTGTCCAGCTTCATCCCTGTCTGCATGGCGTACAGACGACCTGCAACACAACACAAAGTCACTCAGCAAACAGCACAAGGACCCATAAATATATAAATATAAAAAGAAGTGGACCTAGTGAGTATGATGTGAATTGACAATTTCAATTAGGGTTGTCCAAACTTCACCAAGGCAACATGTTCAAAACCACAGAGCAGTGGATCACTCAGATGGGTGCTTTTAACATAATTTGGACATAGACACCATAATATAATAACATTGCTTTTAGGTATCACTTGCAACGTTATAGTGGCAGAAATACTTCAGTGTGCTGTAAAAATGTACTGCCTATGATCAATTGGGTTCAAGGAGGCTTGAATTGGTCTGAGGGTAGCATTTGCCCCTGGTATATAGTTTGGACCCCCTAGTTGCTCAGGTTGCACAACTTTTAATCTGCTTTATATGAACTTTCAAATGCTGCCAGGCAAGAAAATACTTTCAGCATATCTTTGATAACCTTAAATCTCACTATTACCTTAAAAACAATTGAGCATTTTTAAAACACGTAGCAGAACACTGAAAAATGTTTTTAATGCAAAGTAAATGTCAAAATATTCACCATATTTTGCCATTTACAGCAAGACGCAGCAGGCCTAGAGGAGAATGAGCCAATGTGCACCAAAGTGAAAGCAGGGCACAGAGGCAGAAAGTTGGACTCAGAGTTGACTTCAGAATCTTTCCAGTGCAGGACTGTTTACTGGGTAAATTTAATTATGCCCCCAAGGTTCAGCTGTACCTGTGTTATGCAATATTAGAGGGAAAATATGTGTGCTCAAGTGGTACAGCAGATCAGGAGGCGGTGTACGGTAGGACAGATTGCTGTCAGGTTACTGTTTTTTTCCTCAATGCTCCAGACTGTGGCTGGTTCGGAGAGCAAAGTCTTCAGAGCCAGGCACAGATCTGGTCTGGTTCATCAGCTCACTGTAGCCATATTGCACAGACTTAGGCCTATCACATAGTGCTACACTATTTTAAAATCAACTCAATAAATAAACATGTAATTTTTAGCTTGTTCAGAGATATCCAACTTGATGTTGATCCAGAATAGTCAATTTTTCAAGACAGTGGCAACAGTTTTCCTATGTTATGTTTATTTAATTATAAAAATCATAAATTCATGAAGAAATGTTTGCTTCAATCTCAGCATTATCCATCCCCAATACCCAAAAGGAAGTGACTTGACATTTTTTGTTACTATTATAATCAATCTTAATAAAATACAGTTATGCAAAACTGTGTCGTGAACCAAGCTGAAGATGATTAAATTAGAACTTCCATTGTCATGTAGAAGATTAGTCATTTCAAAATGGCAGTGAGTTTGTGTGTTTCCAGCTCATGTTTAGGGACTGAGTCACCTCCATTCTCAACAATGTCTCTTTTTTTCTCCCAACACAGATTTGAACCAAGTCACTGCCAAGTCCACAAAGTTGAACCGCTCAATCTTTCCACAAATTTCTCTCATTACAGCGGTGGAGGCAGATATTGAGAAATGATCAGCTACTGAAGCAACAGACCACAACACAGTGAACATTTTACTCAGCCAGGGCTAAAAATAAACCCAAGGAGAAGGAAAAAGAGCGCTAGGGTACAGACCTAGTATAGAGATATGATTGAAGGGGTTATTGTCCCCATAAGGGAAGTTGTTAACTACATTTCAATCAGTGCTGCTGCCTATCTGGAGCAGTTGGTGATGACAGTAGCATCCAAGGTCCATCTCCAGAGTTTAAGCTGTGATCGTTTAAGAACACCAAGATGGAGTGTACTAATCATTAAGGATATAAGAATAACTGAAATATTGTGATATCTTATTGTCTAGAGTCTCACAATATATCAAATTACAAGTCCCATTAAAAGTTGATTAAATTAATCATTATGATGGAGCAATAGGGAACTAGATAGACCATGATCCTTTCTCTCCGAGCCGACTTGACAAGACAAAATAACTGTTGTAAGCACTTTTAATCTTTGGATTCTTTGGTTTATGACAGTAGCAAATGACTGTAAAGGCATTTTAAAAAGGGATATATAGCATATTCACAATTTTGTTAGCCTCCACAAAATATTGCAATAAATTTTAGACTGTGAGATGCATATTTTTTGGATATCATTACATCCCTACAAATCATATACAGTAAATGTTTGCTCTTATTATAATATATTGTGTGAGCTACTGTGTCCAAATTACATCCCTTGCGGATCAATAAAGTTTGTCTAAGTTGTCTAAGTCTATGTTTCTGTCTGATGGAGATGGGGAAAATGGAGTAAGTCCACTGTAGCATCGGGAGAATGTGCAAACTCAACACAGCATTGAACTGTTGCTGCTTTGAGATCAGAGTGCAGTATGGTGCAACTTCACAGTTGGCCACCAGGAGATGTTTACTGACCCCAATCTTTTATGCACTACAATTACAATTAGACTTAAAACAATGAAGGCTGGTTACAATTGGGTCAAATTCCAAACAGCCATAGACAAAGTTTAACTTCACAATCACAATTTAAGCCTTATGACATCTTGGTAATAACTTGTGGAATTTCATTTGGGCCAGTGATCTTACAGTGATGTAGTATTTTAGTCCAGTGAGTGTGAGTGACAAAGCCCTCCATTGTGTCACTGGACCACTAAACTCACTTGTGCAGTAGCAGTGCCTGAACAGTGGCCTTTGACAGAGCGGAGGATGTAGCGTCACAGCTATGAACACAAAAGTTCACCAGCGATAAGGGTTTCCTCTGCTCCTGATTTATTTTGTTCTCCGCAGCAACAAAAAGTCAAGAATGAGGCTCATTATCACAGAAGGCACTTGTTCACAATGGTGCACTCCATTTAATACAGATCTCTAACCGCCACAATGGGATATAAAGACAAGCTCAGGCGTATAGAAGATACATTCACAGCACTAACTTAAAACACAATTCAAATATTGCAATGTATACTAAAGTGACTTTGGGATTTCAAAACAGATTATAAGACCAAATCCACTGCAATATCATCATCATAGAAAGTTTAGGTACACTTTATTGTCATTTTATGGAAATTTGTCCTCTGCATTTGACCAATCCTTCAGTGTGGCCTGGGCAACCTGTCAGGAGCAGTGAGTGTCTGAGGACCCATATCCAGACCTCCAGCTATGCTTTGTCAGGACTAAACCTTAGCTGGAATATTTTACCTATTGTAGAGAAATAAAAGGATACCATATTAGGCATTTATTTGAGCACAAAGAGACTTGAATTGCTTTGTCAACTACACAAAAATATTTCTTTAAGAACGCGCCCCTCGCAGGTTGAAAGAGAGTCCCCTCCCGCCCCGAGCGTGTGGATGGATGGCAAGTTGAACTCACACTGTGATTTGTGGCTTGTAATGAGGCCTCATCACTCACTTTGAAAACCTTTGGACGACAGCGTTTGGCTTCAGTTCAGACGCCATTTTAATCTGATTGGATCATTACAGAAGTGCTACGACAACTGTTCTGTGTGTTTACTCAAAGACCTTCCAACAATGAGATACTTTCACCTGCATCAACCTTTGAGAATAAACTGTGGGCTTTTTATCATTAAGATACTTTGGTTTGGTCAAAAGAAAAACATTACCATCTACAGCAAATGTACAGTTCCATCCGCTAGACTTGATGCAATTGAATCTAAATGTCAATACAGTGTTTTTCATTTTGTAAATAGACATATAGCATTAAGATGGATTAAAGTTGGCTGCTGATGCTTTACACAAGCCTCCAAACATTTAATGGGATTGTCTCATTTCCTTCTATGGTTAAATCTTTAGTTATGAGGCCAGTCAATCTGTCAGACACTTTTGACTTTTTCATGACCTCACCTTTTTCATTTGTAAACATCTTTTCTAGATTAGAGCTAATACTCAGCACCAAAATATTGATCTTTCTTCACGGGTGAACATAAATCATGTTGTAATTTTTTTGGTTTAACTTGCTTTCCCCTTCAGTGGTCCCAGTATGATGATCGTAGTATTATCATATTATTATTTATTATTTATACAAGTATTTTTAACTCATGAGAACCCAATCCTCACGAGATATTCCTGCTTTAAGGTTAGAATTTGCCCAACAGATGATGGACCAGTGACAGAGGAGCATTGAGGTTTGTGCCGATGACAAAGGCAAAGTGCTCAAGGGAACCAAAACAAACATGGTGACGTACCTCAGCCTATTTTGGCTTTTCTCTCAACTGGATGTTACAAAAGTTTGATTTTTCAGCTTGTTCAGGTGTTGTTACGGTTCCACCAATCAGAATCAAATATTAGTTGTGACATTCGGCTTTTCTCCAATTGCTTTCAGCGAGACCTATTCCAGCTTGATTCAAAATCAGAGTGCTACAATCTGGCATGAGTCAGATTGCCTTCCACTTCTTGATAACATCAGAACTATTCATTCTTCAGAATACTACAGATCAGTCTGTTCCATAACTCAGACAACTACAGTTAGAATATTTGAAGCACACTTTAGTAAATAAGCTTAGTAAATAGGATGAATTATTCACTTCCGTAAAACTAACAACATTTGTAACTGCAACATTTGCAGTACTTGACTCTAGGGCTGGGTCAGTGAGCGGCATTTTACTGATACTAAACTTTTCACAGTCACATCTGGTCCCTGCAGTGCCTCAAGCTGTTCATAGCAGATTCAACATGGACACCACCATCTGCTGGAACAGTTACAAATACCGCACAATGCAAACTCACTAAACTAATGGTGAAGCCAGTACTGTCTCGGTGAAGATAGATACTATATGAAACGGTACCAAAACAAACACAACATCAGATTCCAAGGATGAAGTTTGCCCTCATCATGAACCACTGCATCAGAATTCAAATGTTAGTTTAAACTTCCGATGGCTCTATCCCACTTGTCTGTCTGATATGCAAATGAATACATGATGTAACATAAAGGAGGAATACAAGACATAAGGTTTAAGTCATAATGTCAAACATTCATTTTCCTAACAGACTTTGTTTAGTTTTACTCAACTATAACT